TAGGGGAGAGCGGAGCATTGGATTTCGTGAGGCTATATGTGCCGTGTCTTAAGCCATCGCGTCCCGAAATATCAAACTTTTTTTGTGAGGCCGGAGATGAGCCAACCCGGAAATTGGAGGAGCGCAAACAAGAAAAAGGCGAACAAAAGCATATGAGAGGCCGTGAAGTAAACGGACACCGATAGCTGTCTACCATTTATTTTTGTTGGCATTTAATCTCGCCAGGGCGGAGGAAAGTGAAGCAAAAGTGAAGCAAAAAATGGGGCCATACCAAAGCAATTCCGAGGAATAAGAACAATTCTCTTCTCGCCTCGACGCCTTATCCCCTTCACTCCGCCCTGCCTTTTATTACAGCGCTTGTAAACTACGTTCATGTGGCGCTAGCTTGACGATACGAGTACGAGAGCAAGCAAACATATCACATACGAGGTAACTGTGCATGTTGGGCCTACTCTTAAGTTGACGGCGGCTGCGGCTGGGCCTCCTCCTTCCTGCATCTGGCACCTGCATGGTTGCGAATCAAACAAACAAGACGGTACAGAATCTTCTATCATATGCTTATGACCGTGTGCCCCTGATGTCCTGAATAGAAGCTTGCCGCGGACTAGGATGTTCGCTGTACGCCAGGTAGACAAATTGCAATATGGTGCCGCGTCTCCGTATCGCACCGTTGATTTACAACCTTTACAGCATCCCAAGTGAGTTCGTCTGAGCTGACATCCAGTAAGACGCAGGGTCTCAGAGGCAACTTGAACTTCTGTGGCCACTGCCGGTTTGCGACTCCTACTTTCGCAGTGATGCGTTGAGAACGAGGTTTGCTACTGCTTCTGCCATTCCATTGCCACCGTCCTGTCCCCTCTTTTGTGTTTTTTTTCTTACTTGCGGAAGACTGCATTCCCATGCAGCTGGAATAGATCGGATACCTAGAGCTGGCGTTTACCCGAGCAACAGATGGCTCTGGTGATATGAATCTAAGAAATGCCATTATGTTACGTGTAGCTCATCAGCAAAGACAGGATATGTGGCCATGTGCAAGAAAGGAAGTTTATTCAAACTTCCTTTCTTGCGATCCTTGAACGTTTGGAGTTGCCACATAAAAAAATTGCCCGTAGAAATTGAGGTCATCACACGACCGAGAAGAGCCAACAAAATCGACGCACTACACGCGCGGTAGACGAGGGAAATAAACAAGAAAATGCCCATCTTCAGACTCGCCATCACCAACAAGAGCTATCGTCAAGCCAAGGTTTACGTCTACAAGGTTGTGAAATGCTGGCCGTCACTGAATATCCCAAGGCCCAACCAGGGGGCGAATCACACTGGAAACTGGGTGTCAGAATAGAATAATGAAGCAGACACCCGACAGACGAGCCCACATGTGGGACATTCCGTTTATTACGCGTGGAGAATGAAGAGGATGTTGTGGACAGAGCCAGAGCGGCTTGAGGCATGAGACATACAGTTGGAGAATGAGAGGGTTATATCAGAAGTCTGATATAGGTCCATCAAGAGGTTAAAAACCAGAGTGGGAACTGTGAGCTCTTCTTTGCCAACTTCCGCAGAATCGGACGCCTTTCGGAGAACGAACTGTGTTCGTCCGTGGATTGGGGGAGACGGAAGGGGAGGGGGCACACGGTACGATGCACGACGTATGGGCGTGTAAATAGAGCGAGTGCCCGTCGAGTCCTTACTGTTGTACCTCATACTTGTTCTCTGTATCTGCACTGTGACTGAAGAGCTCTGGCCTGATCCGTACCATCGCGATTATTGCAGAGGAGATAATCATTTGCTCGTCTGGGCAACCAAGAATTCAGAGAGGAAACAAATAGCCTTGGACGATGCTCGGTTGCTTTGCATACCTGTTCTTTCCACCACTCCCGCAATACGTTTTTGATTTGTTTGCGCATGTCCATTTATACCGTAGCCATCACGGATTCCAGCCCGTTCACGGACCAAAGTAGTAATACTCCTGCCGTCCATCCGGCATTGCAATGGCGTTCGTCCTTCTCTCGGGCGCATCTGGGTTCGCTCGGTTACTGTACCTAACTATTCATTGCCCCTTCTTGTTGCTTTCAGTCTTTGCTTGTCTCTTCTGTCGTTCCATGGGTCTCACATCGATCAAGCACGAGCTTCGTTTGCCTCGTAAGATTACTTACACCGGGTTTTCCCGACCATCTTTCGTCTCAGCGTGACTACTTTCCTTAGAATAACTTGAAATTGCCTTCTTTCTGCACCACTTTGGTCATACAATTATGCTTTTCTACGGCGCAGAGTCGCAAACTTCATCTGACTTGGCATACCCCGACTCGCCTTCTCTTTCAACCGCCCCATCTTAACAACGTACACCAAAATTGCGTTCTGGCCAGAGCAAGAACGAGTTTGCTACTTTCTCCGCAGCCAAGACGATGAGAAAAAGGCAAAAAGGGGACAAGTGGAGAGAGACGAGTAACATCAGTGAAAGAAGAGAGACACAAGGCGCGAATCGTGTGTATGATTGCAAAACGATATACATCTTAGTCGCTCAAAACGGACCCCTGAATTTCCTATTCCGGGACGATGCCACTTTTTCCTGCCGCGGCCTCTATTCAAGATGGTCGCCTCAGAATCGGCACCGAGCAGGGAGTTGAGATTTATGATGGATAAATGACATGGAAGACGTTCGAGGCTTGGTCTAAATCGACGGAGAACGAGAGAGTGTCGTTTAGAAAATGAGCTACATTCAGAGAACGCTCTTAATTTCATTTTCAAACGAAAAACGAAGAGTTTAGTACGGGCTCTTTATGCCGCAAAGGCTCTGCGAGGTGTTTCTCAGGGGCTGCGCATATGCATAATAGTATGATGTATGTCCTACAATGTACATACTCAGAGTACCGGTACAAAGGCGACAGGATGATTCTCGAGGGAATGGAAGGGCCTCCATATCTTTCGATTCTGTTGGGATATCTGCCCGGTTTTTCCTCCTCGATATGCCCACCCACGCCCACTTGCCATGTTGCCACCGTTCTCTGTGTCCTTCTCTTTATGGGTTTCCGTCTTTCTCTTTGTGATTACACTCCCCCCCAAATCTTCCGAGATCAACTGCAACAGCAGGGAGGTGTGTGACCCACGAAACAAGACCAGCTGGTAGGCACAAAATAAATATGAAAATAAAATTATTGTGCTCCACCCACAAGTCATACACGTCACATTGAGACATACGAAGTAGTCACTTGCCCTCTGCTAGCTTGAATTTGCGTACTAAATGGTGTGTTCTTTGCTAGAAATGCATTGAATAAGGGAGATGTTGGCACCCAAAAAACTCTGGCCTGCCTTTCGAATGGCATGGAGATATCTAGCCGCCGTATCCTTTCTGCGACTGCGACTTCTTCGCCTACTGTGTTCTATTATCTAGGATTCCATCATCTGATAAATGGAAAATCGCTGCTTTAAAGCAACAAATAGGGGTAATAACGCGGTAAGAGATATAAAGGAGACAACAAGGGTGCACTTGAAACCAGAAACAGAAACAGAAACAGAGGCCGTGTTTAGCCCTTTTTGGTATTGTAACGGTTCGGTACTAGCTATGATGAAAGAGTGACGTGAGAGTGTGAGTCGGGAAAGAAGAATAGAGAAGACAAAAAAGGAATATACAAACCATGAAAAGTGGGAAATGAACCGTCCTCATATGATTGCTAGACTCCGGAAGGAAGCATTGCCAAAATCAGACTGAGGAGGCCATGAAAGGAAAAGATTGACAAGTACAACATGGGGTATGTTTGTACGGAGGACAAAGTACGAAAATTCACCAGAAAATAGAAGGAAAGGGGGTGCAATAAGGGCTGGTATGGAGAGAATCAGCGGACAAAACTCTGACTCTCGTTTCTGTTTGACTGCAAAAAATAGACCACGCTGCATGGTTACTCCGCCTTAATCAGCTAAGCCAAGAATATGCACAGTGGGAGAGAAAGGCAAACGAACACGCATCCGTCAGTGTTTCTAGTGACACACCAAAGATGCAGCTTCGAGCAACATACTCTGTACGGTACTTGCAATGGGCGTGCCGTACACCGGAAAGGGGGTGTGCAGGTAGACAAATATGAGTGTATATGTAGATGTACAACTCTATCCACAAAGGATTCGGCGGGGAGAATAGAAGTAAAAGACGAGGAGAAACGGGAGGGAAAGGGTTGCACTGGGGCATCCTCAAGAACCGGCAACGACCAGTCGCGGTGGCCTAGTATCGCCCTCCAAACTGCCCTTACCTGCTTCCTGGTTTCTGGGCTTCTCCGTATGGAGCAAAGATCTTTCTCTGCTTTCCCTTTTTCACCTCCCACATCTCGTTGTGTGCCCTTTGGTGGGTGGTCCACGTCGTATTCGCAGGTTTGCCCCCTTCCCGGGGGGTGAACACAGCAAATCCTCCTGTCCATTCCCGCCCTCTTGGCCTCCTCGTCCCTTTCCATGTCCATGCCTGTCTATTTTGGCTTTGCTGCTCTGGTCCTCCCCTCACGCTCCTTTCCCACCTGTTTGGTCTCCCTCAGTGAGTCTTTCCCAGACATACCAGCTGCCCAGCGCTTTGGTGGGCAGCTATTCAATCGTCCCCCTGCTTGTCGACCGCGTCACCATACTCTCCCGCACCTTTTTTCTGGATGTCCCTTGGTGGGGATGAACGGGAAGAATGCTCTTGCAGCAGTAGCAGCCGTGGGCGTAACCTCCTGATGCACCGCAATGCGACGGGAAATGTGGGAAACAAAGAAGGATTTGGCGATACAAGGCGTGGGATGCGACTCAAAGAAAGTGGCAAGCTTGCCCAACAAATATCAAAAGAACAACAGAGAAACAGCAGCGAGAGGTATCTAAATGTAAGATGGTATACACAATGCGTGTATATTGTAGACTTATAATTAAAACCGATTGTTTTTCGTGCGTATTGATGCACCAACACAAGCGTTCAATGCCAGAAGTTAGAAAATGTAACCAAATGGCCGAGAAAAAAACCCAACATATGCTCTAAAGCCTGGAGTTTAGTCCTCGGCATCCTCGTTATCGACGAGAGCAAGCTCGACAAAGTTGCGAACCCAGGCCGCCATCGCTGGGTCCAACTCGTTACCAGGATTTCGGTGTACTCGGCCGCCAGCACCGGCCCCCCGTATTTGTCCCCGTCCCTGCCCGGCAGCTCCTCGTCCTCGTATACGACCATCCTGCCCTCTTCCTCGAGCTGCCGCAAAGCCTCGTACTCTTGGGGCTATACCGTTGTCGTTGTTGTTGATACCGTGGTGGTTGTCGTTATCGTGGTTACCCGGCGCAAGAGGTGCTGGACCCGGCGCTGGGTCCATGGCAATGCGAAGGACGAGAGGCCCTTCACGGGCAACATCAACATGATGGGGGGCCGCTGGGGTTGGAACTCGTCGTGGGCCTTCCCTTTGTCGTTGTCCATTGTTCCTACCATCACGGCCACCCCGCTGCCTAGGACCGCCTCGGTCATGTACCTGGCCACCGCGTCCGCCCTGGTCGCCATCTGCAGCAGCGGCACCGTTGACGTTGGCATCACCTTGCACAACATCTTCATCCGAATCCCAGTCGGACAGATCATCGTCGGGTAAGTCCCAGTTGTCGTTATCTGATTCGTTCAAGTCGGCAACGCGAACAGCGGCGCGTCCATCGAATGCAATAACCTGGCCGTTACCACCGCCTTCGTCCCCATGCTCGAGCTCCCACAGTCGGTTGAAACATCCTGTTCGCCGGCCATCGGGAGCCTCACTAAAGTGCCGGTAAGGATTGCTGGAGTCGAGCCACGCCGCGCACAAGTAGCAAAAGTGTGTGTTGCAGCGGAAGCAAATCATGTGGTTGCATCCCATGGTCTTTTGGGCCGGCGCTGCGCATGTCGGGCACGGCGTCGTGTGATGTGCTAGGTATTCGAGCGACGCTTTATCCTCCTCAGCCAGCTCACCGGTGTTTCGGGGCGGCGAGCAGTACACAAAGTCGCCGTGCCACGAAAGGAGACAACGGCTGCAGAATGCAAACGCGCAGTCTTCACAGATGCTTAGGCGTTCTTCTGTCGCCGAGTACGCCTTTTTGCTCTTGCCGTTATCACCTGCCGGCGCCTCTACTGCTGCTGCCGCTTCCGCCTCCTCCTCGTCTTCGCCGTCGCTCTCATGGAGCGACAGGCCGTGCGGTTTCTTGTGCTTTTTAGACCGTGCCGCACCGTTGCACCAAGCGCGCGGGCAGTAGACAGTATTCTTGTCCGACTGGAGTGCCGTCTTGTACTTGAGGTCAATGTAGCGCCGCACAAGGCTCTCGTCAAGGGGAATCTGCAGCAGCTCGCCGGGACTAACGGATACGAGCTTGGGTTTGCTGTTCTTCTTGCCCATCTGCTGGGCCACAGCGACGCGCTCCTTGGAGCAATTCGGCTCGAGGCAACGAATAGATGCAAGGTCACCTTCTGTGATGGCGCTGCTGTAAAAGTCTTGCAAACATTGGCGGCAGAAGACATGCCCACAGTCTTGCATACGGTGGCAGGCTGCGCCCTTCTTCGGATCTATAGATGGATGCTCGATTAGAAAACCGCAAAAGGTGCAACAAATTTAAGCATCTCGGGGGCAGTGGCATGAACTTGCCTAAGCAGATACCACAGCGAAACGTCTCTTTGGCAAAGGCGGCCTGCTTAGCTGCAACGTCGTAGTTGAGAATCGCCACTTTGTGTTCCGTGTCCACGGCGAGAAACCCGTTTTGGTTCACGAGCCCAAACACCTTGTCATCCGCCGCCTGCTGGATATGGTCGACGTAGCTGAACACAACCTGGTCGCGCCCGATCTCCTCCCACAGTCGTTCACAATCGCTCGCGAGGCGACCCAGCACGCTGCTCGGCAGCCATGGTGGAAATGCCGTAACGGCCACGGTGGGCGGCTCTTCTGCTGGGTACGCCGGTGGCAGTGTTACACAAAGATGCAGCGACGGCAAGTAGGCCAAGCTGTGCGTGTCGATGACCCGGTTCTCTTGGTGGAGATGTGCGTTGGCAGCACTGGCACTGGCGTCGGAAGCGGATGATGTCCCGGGAGCCACCTGCGTGTCAGTTGTTGCATTCTCGATGATGCCTGTGGCTGGAAATGCGACAGTGACGACCTTGGCCGGGTTCACGGGCACTTCGAGCGTGAAGGCATACTTGTTTTCGCTGTCAATGGCTAGTTCGGGAAAAATGGCCTTGAGCGTGGTGATCTCAACAGCACGCAGGTCGTCATAGTCGATATCGTCTTCTTCTTCGTAATCCATGGCGGAGAGTGAGGTCCGGCTCAACTAAGGCTGCGATTCCGAATGTGTCTCGTGCCCAGCGTGCTTCTCTCACTTCTCTCACTTCTCTTTCGTCCTCTCGTCCTCTCGTCCTCCAATCCTATCTGCCCTGGATATTGTCCCAGGCCAATGTATATACCAAGTACAAGACACGCATCGTTCATGCGATCTTCGCGACAAATATAAAATCAGGGCGGGGAGGCGACAAGCCGTGTAGTGAAATTTGGTTCCGTTCAGTATTAGGAATGGAAGAAGTTGATTTTGGAGTTGAAATGACCTGAAGTCCACAATGCTTTTGAGAATGACGTACGGAGCGTTATACCTGATTATCGGAGGGGCATCCCGGGTGCGGTGCGCTACTTTGGAGGGCAGGAGCGCTTTGCCGTCAGTCGTGACTCTTACGTCACCTTCGGCCGCGTGACAAAGGCCGGAAAGAGCCAGGTCAAGGGGTGGCCTGAGCTTCTGTAACAAAAGTGCCCTATTCGTACCCTTCAGGCCCGCTGATTGGCTGCTGTATCTCGTCCCCTATGTCCAATTTAGCAGGACAGCTATATCCACAGTGCACAACCAAGCAAAAGCAGAAGCAAATTGAGCAAGAGCGAGGGCGGGGGCGCTTTAAGTTTGCCCGCGTTATCCTAACGTGCCAACTAATCCAGCCCTCCTCCGAGAAGCAGCATAGGAGAGCTCTCACGATTCCCATTACACCAAAAAGTCGCACATCTTCCGGTTGGTCTGGCGACTGGGTGACAAACCGACGGCTGCGCTAGGATTCCCCCCGTCGACGCCATCTGCAGAGTGCCGTCGCCGCAGGATGACAGCAGACACGCCCTCTGAGCGTTCTGCTTCTTTCAACCGCCATACGAAGGCTGTGACTAGCTCTGGCCCCGTCGTACTTTTTCCTCAGTCTCTGTCAATATGAGCGGCTCATCTAGTGAAGGGCAACCTCAAGCTGGCGACAAGGCTGTAGCTGAAGGTGCGCCACTGCTGGAAACGAGTCAACCCGGCACCAACAACCCAGCAGCCGAGCAAGCCGACCAGCCACCGACGCAAGCCTCGACATCTTTCCCACCACCCCCAACTCAGTCCATCTCCAGCTCAAGCATGACCACAGGGGCCGCCGCCGATAGTGGTACTGGCGGCAGTAGCTCGGCACCTGTACCGTTGCCTCCGCAACAGCCCCAGCAGCAACAGCTTCAGCCCCTTGACTCGCTCTCCCTCTCCCAGCTGCGCCGGCTTGCCTCGGAGCTGCCTCGTAACGAGCCTATCACCTACGACTTTACGTACGAGGACATGGGTGACTTTGATGATGAGATTGATGAGTGGTTCTCCTACCAGGTCTCCCAATGGGTGCGCCTCAATTACGCCCAGCAGCACTTCGAAAACCGCTGGGAGCGTATCATCACCCACAGCAAGCGAGACAACGAGCGGGCCAGCGATGATAACCAAGACGAACAAGACGACCGATACAATGGATACGACGAGTACAACGAGTACAACGAGTACAACAATGGTGGTAGGCGTGGTCAGGAAGCAGACAAAGGTGATAGTGATAACCGCTTGTGGGACACAGTTGGCGGCGAGACGCAGGAGCTGTTTGTTTCCGGCCTGCTCAGCTACCTCGAGTCTGAGAAACACCGCCAGCGTGCCGAAGTCGTTGGCTGTCTCGTCTACCTTGTGCTCGGCCGCTGGGGAACCACGGCCGGTGGGCCTCCGGACGGCAAGAGCTCATCGACAGCACGGACTGTTGCTCGGTCACGACAGATTTTGGCGATGAAGGCAGCAGCCGCCCTTATCGGCAAGCTCGGTGGCATTCCGATTTTATGGAAGGCTCTGCGCAAGGCATTTGAACCGTTTTGGTACGTTTAGGATTTTAGGATACCATTTATTGACCACGGCTGAAAACTAACTTTAGTTAGGGGTCCTGGGGACGTACAACAGTTACCGACAGGTATTCTACAAGACGCTCAAGATGACCTGGCTAACCTCATGACCATCTTCTATGTCGTTATGCAGGCGGCCTTGAGTGAGCCGCTTGACATGGCCGCATGCTATGTTAAGTTAGGTATGTTTATTTGCTGCCGCCTATACCATGTCCTCTCTTGTTTTAGCTTTGCATTGTTAACTTGCTCATAGTCTCCCTCAACCCACCCATTCCCAATTTTATGATGAATGTAGCATCGAAGCTGCGGTGGGAGGACAATCCGGTTATCCTCCAATGCCAGGTGTTTTTGCTTCTCTGGAAAGCAATCTTGCTCGTATTTGGTGGCACACGCGAATTGCTAGAGACGAAAAAAGCCACCGCTGAGTCGACTGCCGACGATGACAAAGAGAAGAACCTTATTATGGCGTCGCCCCTTGACTATCACGCTTTCCGCCTGGAAATCACCTCCAAGTACCCTGCATACATTCCTCCTCAGCCGTTGTTACCTCTCGAAGACGATAATACGACTCTCTTGCCTCCGCCGCCCAACCATCCGCCGCGGAATAACGGCGCAAATGGAATCCTCCCAGGACCACCCAATGCATATGGAGGTGCCTCTATCTTAGACCAGCCAGTCCATATTGCTACACCAGCACCATCTCCCCCTCCATCGCCCGCAGCAGGTGGGAAGGGTGGAAAGAAACAGAACTACCAAACAAACCAAAACTTCCCGTTCATGTACCCCCCACTAGATACAACCAGTAATGGTGCAGGTGGCAAGGGACTGGCAGCGCTACAAGACGCCCTTGTGGGGCGTAAATGGGAGGGCAGCGACGTGCCCTCGTCCATTCTGGAAGCTGGTGAGCTCTTCTCGAACCGTGTCCGTATGACGCGTGCAGCTCGGCAACTTTGGGAAGAGCGTGAGAAGTTTCTCAAGTTCGAACGTGGCTGGGACGCTGCAGACGACGAAAGCACTGACCAGGACATCATCGACGATTTGGATCTGTCTTCGCTTACACTGGAGGAAAGAGAGGATCTTGGCTTGGTGAAGCGGAGTGAGTCGAGCGGTAAAACCAAAACGGGCGAGGCCGACGTGGACTATGGTTCACAAGAAAGTGAACTCAATGAGCGCATCAAGCAGCGCCTTGATGCTTTGGAGACGTTTTATGTGAGTGCAATCCCGCGAAATCTCCACTTATTTCCAATTATTGGGTGCTGACAGTGTCTTTCAAACTTACAGCAAGAGGCCCTACCTCACTTGCAATCACTGGTTATCGTCCTTTTGAAAGCCATCTTGATGAACGTGGCCGTTCTCATGGCCCAGGCTCCGGCCGGTCAGCAACAACACCCCGCCGCCGGCGGTCCGAACAATAGAGGCGGCGGTTTTCAGAACCAACAGCCCGGCGGCAGCAATCCGGGCAACACGGAGCCGGTCGAGCTGACGCCCGAAGAGATTGACGCAGCTAGGACGAGAGAGATAAGTGCAAAGGCAGTGTCCGGCATCTTGTTACTTCTGCTGAAGTGGCTGAAAGTATCTCGTATGTTGTATTGTTTCAGACGGTCTTGCCTATGCCTTTTTATCTGGTCGCTAACCGCATTGCAGATGTCCTCAAGTTCGAGTATTTGACACAGCTTTTGCTCGATTGCAACTACGTTCCACTGCTTCTAAAGCTCTGGGCGCACCAGGATGTTCAGCAGCTAGTCGACGCCAAAACGGATTGGTTGGAGTCTAGCTTTTTCTACTTCTGCAATTTCCGCGCAGGCGTTCCCGAGGGCGAGGAGCAGGTCAGCGGCGCTGCCGAGGACGAGGAACTTGAAAGCGAAGATGATGCAGCTCCTCCGGCGATTAAGCGACGCCGCTCGCCGCCCCAGGCTCCAGGGCCTGGAGGTGCGCCAGGCAAGCCCATTGCCACTCGTTCGACCGGTGCCCCCCAGGTAGATGAGCTTGGGTATCCGCTTGGCGATATGCCCATCGAACCGATCACTGACTTCAACCGGCGCAACTTCTTCTCCCTCATCAACCTCCTTCGGGTGATGCAGAAGATCTGCAAGAACAAGGCACACCGCAACTTGCTTCTCGTTCACTATAAATCCTCCAACATCCTGCGCAAGATGCTAAAGGTACCTCAGCAAGAGCTTCGGCTGTACACGCTCAAGCTGTTCAAGAACCAGGTGCCCTACTGCGGACGCAAGTGGCGACAGAGCAACATGCGGGTGATCACGGCAGTGTACCTGCATTGTCGGCCGGAGCTACGCGACGAGTGGCTGGCAGGTAGCGATGTGGATGGCGAAGTGGAGAGCTCGCTCCCGTTAGAGCAAGCGTTGCGCAGCCTGACGCACTGGTTCAATGTGCGGCGGTATCCGGACAAGATGGCGCCCGAGGTCAGCGTGGCGCTACGCGAGGAACACGATTTTTTCGTTCGCGAGCTGGACAAGCTGGACCTGAGCTGGGCGGATCTCAACGATGGCGAGAGCATGGTGAGCGATTGGGACACTTAGAAAGCGTCTATCGAGCCGGCCATGGCGGACACGGCGAATGCCACCACGGAGAGTGGACCAACGGAGTCAAAAGTTGCGGTTGAACCGTTCGCAGCAGTAGCCGGTGGATCTGGCGGCTCATAACGATCCCCCATATGCCCGATGCAAGCGGGTCTCCCGAACCAACCTGGATGTCAAGGTTCTTCTGGGATGCCCCAACTGTCTGAAATGGCGCTGTCAGTGGTGGAATTGGGATTCAGAAAACACGGTGCCGCCTTGAACGGTAAAAGAAAGGCAATGCCAAGGAACTAAGAGCATGCGCGTACAGTGAACAGAATGTCGCTATGCTCGTCACTCCCGAAAAGGGAATTGGATGAATATATGTGTTATCAATTCAGTTAATTGTTTGGCTGTGTGAAAAGTGCCTAGTCGCAGCTTCAAGTTCAGCCCGTACTTGTAATACCATAAACAACGCCACAACTCGAAACTCCTTTCCAGCAACTCCTTTCCAGCTCATGTCTTGCCAACAATCCCGTCCACAACGGCAAAGTTCCAATCGTTCTCTGTATTACCCCAAATATATTAGGTGTCAGTCTTATTCCCGCCGCGTCCAAATAATGTTGCCTCGGGTATCTCATCCATTTTCGAGCTGCAGAATTTGTTTTGGGAATGGGGAGAGGGGTTCTCCTTCGCTCTATTTTTATCACACCCTCGACTTTATTTAAAATTGCGACAGGTTGCCATACTTGCGGGCGGCACCCACGACTTGGTCCTTCAGACCGCGCACACCCGTTTCGACGCTGCCTCGGAGGCCGGCCGAGTTACCCGTGGCTGGGTCAATGGCACCGCCCCATACGTTAGGGTCGACAGTGGTGCCGCGGGCGTTGGCGGAGTCACCAGCGACGCCGGTGCCACGAACGGTGGAGCTAGGGTCAGCAGCACCCGAGGTGGCAGCACCTGTAGAAGTGCCGGTTGCGGCGCTAGAGCCAACACCTGTTCCTCCCACGGAAGAGACTTGGGGAGTCTGGCCACGAGCGTTGGTGTAGTTATCGGTGCCAGTGCCGCGAGCGTTGGTGTAGTTGTCGGTGCCGGTGCCATGAGTGTTGTAGTTGTCGGTGCCAGTGCCACGAGTGTTGTAGTTGTCGGTGCCAGTGTTACGAGTGTTGTAGTTGTCGATACCGGTGCCACGAGTGTTGTAGTTGTCGGTGCCACCAGTTTTGTAGTTGTCGGTACCGGTGTTATAAACAGTAGAGCTAGGGTGGGCAGCACCCGACGTAGCAGAACCAGTGGCAGCGCCTGTGGCAGCGCCTGTAGTAGCGCCAGTTACGGTATTAGAACCAATGCCCGTGCCTCCTGCAGAGGAGACGTTAGGAGCCTGGCCACGAGCGTCGGCATAGTTGTCTGTGCCGGTGCCACGAGTGTTGTAGTTATCGGTGCCGGCGTTACGAGCATTAGTATAGTTGTCGGTGCCGGTGCCACGAGTATTGGTGTAGTTGTCAGTGCCGGTGCCACGAGTATTGGTGTAGTTGTCGGTGCCGGTGCCACGAGCGTTGTAGTTATCGGTACCAGTACTACGAGTGTCGGCATAGTTGTTGGTACCGGTACCACGGACATTGGTGTAATTATCGGTGCCGGTGCCGGTACCCCGAGCATTATAGTTGTCGGTGCCGGTGTTATGGACAGTTGAGCCAGGGTGAGCAGCGCGCGAAGCGACAGTGCCGGTGGCTGCGCCCGTAGCAGCGCCGGCTACGGCAGCAGAACCAACGCCCGTACCTCCCAGAGAGGAGACTTGGGGAGTCTGGCCACGGACGTTGGCATAGTTGTCGGCAGCATAGTCGCCGACTTGAGTACCACGGAGAGCCGAGGCATCGCCGGAGCCCGCGAAGTTGGACGTGCCAGTGGTGCCAGTGGTGCCAGTGGTACGGGCCGTGTTGTATGCCTTGTTCGTATGGTCAGCAGCGGTGGTGCGGATGTTGTCGTAGTTGTCAACACCGGTGCCACGGATGGAAGGGACCTCGTTCGCAGGTGCCTCGGCGATGCCGCCGCTGCCGTCGCGGAGGTAGCTAGGGTCCACGCTGCTCTGCAGGTTGGGGTCCACGCCAGAGCGGCCGGTAGCAACAGGGTCCACGTAGTTGTCGTTGCGGGCGGTAGGCTCAGCGTAGTTGGCACCACGGGACGCTGGCTCGGTGTTTTTGCCACTGCGCATGGTCCTGTTGGCGAGGCCTGAGCCGACGGCAGCGGCGCCACCCAACGCTGCGCCGGTTTCCAAGCCCTTGTTGCCGTAAGCACGGTTGGTGTACTCCTGGGTCTTGTTAGGATCGATAACGCCATTGTCACCGTATCCGTGGTGGCCAACAGCTGTCGTCTCGGTAGCGTAGCTCTCGCGCATCTGGTTCGGCTCCGCGTGCGCAGGCAGCGCGTTAGGGTCTTGGTAGCCGTCGCCCCGGCCGTTTTCGGTCTTGCGCTTCTTGCCAAAGAGACCCTTGCGGCGGCCACTACCCGAAGTGTAGTTGTTGTTCGGGCCAGGGCCAAACTTCTTTTCACGACGGTGGCTGCGGAAGAGCAGGAAACCGCTAATCAAGGTGAAGAGCAAGAAAGCAATGGCGACGATGGACACCGCCAGACAGGCTTTCTCGAGGCGGCACGAGACACGGAAGGTAGGGATGTTGACGGAGACGCCATTTTGGTTGTTGATGCGGTTGACGTCGGCGTTTCCGTTGCCAAAGGGTGTGCGAATGTTTCTGCCATTGCAGCTGCCGGCGCCGCCGCGGTTGGCGACGGCAATGTAGACGAAGCTAGCGATGAAGCAAATGTCCAAGATAAGGGCCAGGGCAAAAGCTACCGGGTGGCCGCCGACGCACCACAGCAGTAGGAGGCAGATGAGAGAGTAAAGCGCTGCTGCGCCAGCCAGACCCGTGACGGCACGGGTCCAAGTCGGGACATAGAGGTTGGCGCTGCGCAGCTTGGCGAGGAAGTAGGCGAAGATGCCGAGGACGACAATGGAGCAGAGGAATATGACCAGGCGGTTGAAAAATTCGAGCGCCCGCAGGCCGATGCTGGAGCGCGCCATGGCTGCAGGTAGTGTAGGTGGAAGAGGCTGTCGGAGATGCAACGGTAACAGTCACGGTGCAAAGTGACTATGGCAATTGGGATGAGATTGACACCAATCTGACAATGTTGGAATGCGACAGCAGGAAATACATATACATTGGAAAATTCATCCAAGGAAATCGAAAGCCCCGAGAGGGGTGCTCGGCAGGCTTATATGGGTGACAACAGCGATGAACGGTCAATGGTCGTGAGTATGTGTAAGAGCTGTCGGGCTGTCGCGAGCTATGACGTAATGCAACTCAAAGACTGTACATTGGAAAGGAAACAAAGTTGAGATAGTCCGTTGTGAGGCCTCATGCTAATCGGAAAGAAAACAAAGAAATCGACAGGACCTTGCCGTAAAACAATGGGGCCAGATGTAGCTTTGAAGATGCAGGAGCCTCAAATAAAGAAATAAAGGGAAAGAGACAAGACGGGAAGGAGCCGTCACCCTGGTTGCTGACGCTGTCTTGGCTGGGAAAGGGGACTCACCTCCAACAACTTCCCAGATTCGGCCGTCTGCTTTCTGTAGCTTCTTTAGTGTGCTTTGGCTTCTTGTTTTTCTTTAGACTATTCCTTCAGGCTCACTGTATTTTGTTGTATCCCTTTGTATCTGGTATATGTATGATGCACTAGAATGCAAGGCTTGACGACGCCACATGAACAGCAGATCGTCGGCTCTCGATCGCCTCGCTAGATCCGCGATCTTGGGTCTCATCGCCCCACCAATCACCAATGCACTTGGATTGGCGATTCATGATAATTTCCCTTTCAGACAACGATTTGCGACTGGGGACAATCCTGATGCCAGTTCGCCATGTATGCTTTTTTTGTTCAATCTTTTTTGTTGTTCGCCCGTTGGTCCGTGTCTGTATCGCGATTCATTCTCCATTCGCGATTGTCTTGCGGGTCTCGGCAGCCACACGCTGTTCGATTCATGTAGGCCTTCGCCTTGAAAGTATTCACTTGAAAGTATTCAAGTACAAATCAATCGGACGTTGTCCCTAATGGCAGTTGTAGCTTGTCAGTTGACAGAAAGGAACAGATAGACGTTGGTGAAGGGGAGAGGAGGGGATATGGACAGGTTGGTGCTGTTCTAGCCGTGTCCTTATTAAGGGACATGCGTCATTAGTGAGGTTCACCCTGCTCTATGGCAGAGTTAATCGACTTGAGTTAATTTCTTTGCAAGGTGGACGAGAAAGAGACGGGGAAGTTAAACAGAATTTCGGAAGAGAAGGAGAAGTAAGAGCGGGCAAAAGATTTGTTTATTCACTGTTGGTAGCGAGCGTCCCTGACCGTTTGCGGTCTCCGGCTCAATGTTTTCAAAGTGAAGCGAGCTGAACATGCATGCCATGATAGGATATCCGTTGTCCTTATGATTGGCGGTATTTATGTTAAGCAGCCAACTCTGCATGTTCTCCTGATGCCAGCTCGCACAGCTTCGAGGCGGATGACGTCACCTGATTGAAGCTTGACGAAAGAGGTTTAGCGCCAATTGAAGCCTCCAGGCCACAATGGTTTTGGGCACCTCATAAATCCAAGAACCATTGATACCGCGTCGAATTGCTTCATCGGTGCCAGTATAACGGGATTGACTTCAAAGAGATCATTAAATCTGGGACCGTAAGCTATTATTGATACAAATGGCGTAGTCGTGTTTTTCCTGTTATAATAATTGGGACTCGCGGCGCAAGGCTGACCAAACAAAAGGTCGTACGAATACGAATACGACGTATGCCGCAAGTGACAGCCTTACCTTGCAAAGCGTGCCGCTGCGCCCGGGCTATGGAAGCTTATACGTTGGCTTGTGCATTGGTTTAGATGTTGACGCACGCCGCAGTCGGCCCCCGTAAATCAAAGGGCCATGATGATACAAGAGATTGACGTTTGCCAGCAATGGCAGCTTGAAGTGGACATGTGACATAGCACGTGCACTTTTCTCGGTCATGTGTTGAAGATCCTGAGCTCATAACGGACGCACTCTGGTGATGGCAGATTCCAACGCTGAGATTTGGCTTATGTCCTCAGGAGACGATATACATGTGAGAGTGGGTCATGCCATCCGGGGAGTTGGCACCCCAATTTTAAGTGAAGGTCCATTCTGGGGTTTCCTAGGTCCACTTTGCTAAAACGACTTTTAGACTAAGGACGGCCGACTTTTTCCGAAAGACTGTTGACTGTTGGGATCTTTTGGCTGCTTTTTGACGCCTGGCGGATGCGCTATTCCTGCTGCACGCTTCATCAAGCAAGCTAGGGGACAAAACAAGAACGACAGTCGTCGTTGGGGACAGAAGTGTGGTTAAGCGCGCTTCGAGCTGCCGGGTCTGCGAGGTGGTGCCCTTTTTATTTTGCCTTTGTTCTCTCTGCTTCCCAAATCCTCTCCTCAAATGTGGTTAATTGCGTCGTGTTCAGCTTTGTTCCTTTGTGTATAGTCACACATTTGCAAGTGCAAAGCCGTCATCTTTTGCGGAGAGACCAAGAATTGACGGGATTGCAAGCAAAAAGGAAACGTGAACTATGGGGAGCAGAACGGAGGAGAGAGAGAACAACAGGGCCGATGAACGGAGCCGGCATAGTAGGGACCGAAAGGGACAAGATTTATCGGGAGCCAGCCAACCTGGCTGCCAAGGGACTTGACCCTACGCTGTTCATTGTGTGGTTCGGAAATGTGCGAAATAGTAATGGAAGAAATAACTGGGACAATAAAGAAACGAAGCAAATGACGAGAGAAATGTCGTAAAAACCGGGCATGTCGCCATCGTGATTGAGGTATTTCGGGTCCTTGCATGCGAGCACGAGCTCGAGGACGCCATTTCGGCTTCTTGCATCTTGACCGACAATTTTTGATTCCCAGAGAATGCCGGTGTGCAATTTCCAATGTGTGAGATTCGAGGTCTGGGTGTTGATAGAAGTCGCCCATGTCCTCTTCTAGTCCATTTTGTTGTCCGGCTTTTGCCGACACATGTGTAGTCAAGGTGCAATCGCTGCAGGTCCGGAATTACAAGAGGAGAGGGGCGACCAGGGGCAGGCCCGGCGCGTCAGAATCGGAGGTGGACGGAAGCAAACAGCTCGCGCCTTCAGAAACATGTACGGAGCAATTAACGACATACTTTCCATCCCTGGAAATACGGAAAATAATCCGAGTTGAAACGTAGCCGGTGACCTCCTGCTGTGACTTTTACTCTGTTTACAAAGCTATGCATCAGTTACGGGAGTAATACTCCGTATGCAATGGAACGGTCTCCGGTCCCCTTTTGCATTGTTCCTCTCACCCGGGTTGCGACCTCCCCTCACGAAAGCTATGGAGAAAAGGAACTGCCTGATCAAGATGGGGGAATCGTCTTGCATGGAGGGTGGGAGGGTTGTATTTTTGGAGCAGCCTTTGCTTTGGATGGCTTGTTTAGGTTGTGCCGTTCATTGAGACAGTAGCAACCTCCTGTCAGCTGCCAGTAATTACTCAGACTTGTTCAGAGCTTTCTTCTTACCAATCTTAGCAGTACGGTTTACAACATCGTACGTTGTAATTACGTCGAGGCTACAGCTTCCGATCTTGAAGGCTCCGCACAAAAACTGCCTCAGCGTGCTTTCTTGGCCCCATTCTTCGCAGGCATGTTTGTTTCAATCAAAAGTAGTCCAAGCAGACGAGACTTGAATCTCAAACCCCTTGACAGGACGGTATTCTTGAAGTGGGCCTGCAACGTCTGCCGTGCCTATTACCTGGTTTGACAACTCTCAGTGTTTGGACAATTTGTGACTCCCCGAGCCTTGCCGATAGCGTCCTGGACTCTGTACCTGTCTGCTATCGCCCTGTTGGCGATCGCCACTGTTCGAATTGCTTCCAATTGTGCCCTTCTCCACCAGTGTAAACTTTGTAGAGTTATGGACGACGTATCGAGTCCTTGACGACTAATGCACAACACACAATGTGTTGTGGCCTGCAGGATTTTTTAATGGCCTGTAGGGTCCGCATTGTTCACCCGCACAAATCCTCCACATCTCCACTTGGTTCTTGATTGTTTGTGCCCCATCTTTCTTGGCCAGGCTTTTCCAGTGTCTCGTTTGTCGTTTCTTCACATTTTACCGTTCCTGTCCTAGCTGGATTTTCCCCAAGGCCACCCTTCACCCAACCCCGAGAGGTCGTTCGTAATTACTTTCGATTTCCGGGCTCCGTGAGAGGCTGTGGCCATTTACAGCCTGCCTGGCCAGAAAACGGGACCTGCCGCTTTCAATTCTTCGAAAATATTCTTGACATACTAGACTTCTCCGTCACCACAAGGAAAAGAAGAATAAATAGATACAAGATGATATGCAACTTACGGTGCTTGGAGGTCCCTTTCGAGAGCGAACCAGACGGATAATGTTGCCAAGCCTGGCCAGTAACGCAAACCAATGTCTTTTTCCTTTTCGCGTGTCCTGTCTCGCCTCCCCCGGATCCCCTCATTCCCGGCGTCATTTTCGTTGCGAGCCTCTCATCTCTCTTCTGTCGTTTGCCGCCACTGCTGGTTATGGAGCGACTCTGCATCGTCATCCCCGGTGGGTTTTCCCCAAGCGCGCCCCGCTACAAGTTCACGGTCCCGGACGGAAAGATTAGAGGTGACGAGATGCCGCTGTGTCTTCGGGGCATTGTAAAGCGTGTGGAAGAGTTTTGGACCGTCACTGCCATATCGTTTCGTGTACTTTTACCCATGAGATGACTTTGCTCTCGCAAAGTCACGGGCCTTCGAAAAGCCCAGCAACTGCGACGGTAATTATCAATGCAGGCCAGGGAAACAATCGATGTCCATCGGTCGCAAATGTCTGGTCCCTTTATTCTGTTCCATACATTCTACATCAACAGTAAGGATACAAGTCACAAGCAATTAAATCCCAGGTAAAACAAAAAGGAGACCGCATGTACGAAGTAGCTACGGCGTATATCCCACCTCTCTACTTTCGCCTATCCAGCTCCTCGCTTCATTCTTTTCGTTTTTCTATCTTTTC